ATGACTCAGTGAGGAGGGTTCCCATAAGTCAACCAGTCTGTACAAAGGCAAGAAACCAGTCACAGTGCCCACTTCCTGCCAATTGTCATTCCCTTCCTTAATGGACCTGTTGAAAGCATGTCAAATACTAGGTGGACCTAGTAGTTTGCAGCCAAGTTTCTCCTCCCATTTTCTGAGCGCTCTGCCATAACTCCCTCTAATCCTTGGCCAAGAGAGACAGTAACCAGCACTTTTTTTTTAATATCTTGTTGGATTCACAGTTCAAGGAGGCCCAAAGAAGCAGGATGGCAACCCAAGCATGTAAACAAACAAAAGCCTGCAGCCTCTCCAAAAGCTTACTCCCTACTTGCTAGAGAAAACTCCTCCCAATGTGTTCAGGGGTTTCAGTGCTGCTTTCAGACAGCACAAAGCCTTCATGACAGTGAATGGCAACCCCAAGCTTTTAACGATTTCCCAGGAAACTGCATCCCCAGACTAAATAATGTACACATGGTAAAACTTCACTGTCTCTTGCATTTCAGCAAAAAGACCCCCAGTAGAACAGAAGGCCCTTGGAAGGAGCATGGGGAACAATCATGACTCTGGTGTTCTCAATCTAAAGGCTCACAGAAACAGACAGATTTCCCCTGACTTTCCTTCTCTTTCAGAAAAAAATGTGTATGGATTGTTTTTCAAGTCTATGGAAGAAAAAGATACATTTCCAAACTGTACATCAAGGTCTTTGCTCTGTAGGTTAAATGTTTCTTATCCTTTAAATTAATCAACAGGAAGAGCTGCACGTTTCAGGTAATGAAGCCTCAGAGGGAAAGTCAGCTAATGAAAGATCTAGCATCAAGAATCCTGTCAAAAATCCTAACTCAACATGCATTTCCTAGTAAGACTACAGAGAAAAAAGAGATGGAAATAGAAACCGAAAGGAGCCTTCTCAGGCAAACTAGGTCAGTTCCTGTTAGGACAGGCAAGTTGGCTCTACGGTCTCTCCATCTAGAGCTCCCCACATTCACTCTGAATGATGCCCGCTGGAGTGCTGCTGTGGACCTTCGCTTTTCTGCACCTCGCGGTTTCACGTAGGCAGTCTGCAACACACACGCAGATGGTTCGTACCCACTTGCTCTTGTGCCAACACTGTCATTTAGATGAAAGGGTTGGTTTTTTCCTCCGCATTTTTTGCTTTCCAAGAGTCTCTTGGAATACAGCTGCATGTAATGCAGTGTTTCAATGAATACTTCAAAGACCATTATCAATACTTCAAAGGTTATTGTGAGCAGCCCTGCGGAGAAGGACTTGGGGATGATGGTTGATGAAAACCTCAACATAAGCCAGCAGTGTGCACTTGCAATCCAGAAAGCTGACTGAATCCTGGGCTGCATCAAAAGGAGCATGGCCGGCAGGGCAAAGGAGGTGATTCTGCCTCTCTACTCTGCTCTCATGAGACCCCACCCAAAGTACTGCCTGCATACAGTTCTGGTGCCCCCGGCATAAGCTGGACATGGAACTGTTGTAGCAAGTCCAGAAGAGGGCCACAAAGCTGACAAGGAGACTGGAGCACCTCCTCTACAAAGACAGGCTGAGAAAGTCGGGGCTGTTCAGCCTGGAGAAGAGAATGTTGCATGGAAACCTCACAGCAACCTTCCAGTATCTGAAGGGGGCCTACAGGGAAGCTGGAGAAGAACTCTTCATCAAGAATTGTAGTGACAGGACAAGGAGTAAATGGGTTCAAACTGAAGAGGAGAAATTGATGTTAGATACACGAAGAAATTCTTTTCTGTGAGGGTGGTGAGGTACTGGAACAGGTTGCCCAGAGAAGTTGTGGATGCCCCATTCCTGGGAGTGTCCAAGGTCAGGCTGGATGGGGCTCTGAGCAACCTGGTCTAGTGGAAGGTGTCCCTGCTGCAGGAGGGTTGGAACTAGATGATCTTTAAGGTCCCTTACAACTCAAACCATTCTATGATTCTAGACACAACAACAAAAAAGAGAAGTCCCAGACTGCCACTTTCAAGACACTCTTTTCTAACCCCTTGCCAGTCTTCTTGTGCCAGTGTACCTGTCTTCTGCAGCTGTCCACTTAACAGAATCTGGGAACCAACCACCTCAGAAGCAACCCACCAAAACAAGGCTTGCTTTGGGTCACCTCAGTTCCCCATTTCAGCTTACCATACAACTGCCTCTGCTCTCCAGTTGTGAAGAGGCAGGAGAGGAAAAGGGAAGAATGTTCCTGTATTCACAGAGGTGAATACAGCCTCTAAATCTATTTTGTTAGCCTACCTAGTCAAGCTCTTCTATATTCTCCTCAAATACAGGCAGCTCAAGGACTATCTCATCCAGTCCTGGAAGTGACACAGAGGATCCACATCCATTGTCCTGAAACGTGGATCAGAATTTGTATACATCAATAAACATATTATTACATGATAGGACTACATCCATTGTCACTCTTTTCGTCAAATCACATCACTTTTGTGACTTATCCTTGATGATATGTGGTCTCTTTTCTCTTCCAGAAGTTTTCTCATGTCAATTCCTAAGCTTATACTATTATTATTTATTCCTATTGCACAACTTCATCATACATCCCATTTCTATCATTCTAGCATTCCTTATCATCCAGCTGTTGCACATTTCAATCTTCCTTTATAATAGATTCCTCAAGTTTGCTCATTATTCTTCAATTTTATCATGTAAACAATACCAGTCTTGAGAAACATCCCTTGCAAGCACCTTTCAAGCTAATAGTTCCTCTTCTGACTCAAATCTATTCTGCTTCCTCTTCTCCATGCTACACTTCACCCAAGTCCCAGCACTTACACTAATTCGCCAGTATCTCCACCTTAAAAAAAATAATGTCATCCGTTATCAAGTTTCTGGCAGATGAGAGTTACTCCGTTCCTTTCACAGATAAAAGAATTCAATCGCTTATTCTTACAAAAGATGCAGGTCAGTCAGGCACAATCTATCTTTAGCGAATGCACATAGGACTCAGTCTACTTAGTGTCATGTTATTAATTAATTCTTTCCTTCAAAAATTCTCTAGAGTCTTGCATACTACTGATGTCAAACTCATTAGGCCATAGCTGCGCAGCTCCCTGCCTCCAGTTCTTTCAGGAAACATTTTCCATGGTTCAGTAACAAATCTGCTAAGTCAGAGGCAGAATATATTCAACATCAGATTTCTGGTTAGATTTCCCCTAGGAAGTCTGGCTGTTTGTGGTTCTACCAACTGTCATTCCATTCCTGCAGTTCTTCTTCCTGTGACACAGCTACCCTGTCCCCTTCCCAAACTGCCATCCTCTCCAACTTCTCCAGGTAATTTCTTGAGATACTTAGAGAAAACTTTGGTTCAGAGGTATTCTGACCCAATTTTTGACAACATCCCAAAACGTACTTGTACAAACATTTTACTGGCAAGAAAATAAAATTCACTGCTACTAATTTATAGTTTGGGGGGTTGTTTGTTTTCTTTTAGCTTGGGTTTCTTTTTCCTTGTTTTTCCTCTTTGCATCAAGACTGTCTAATGTACAAGAAAAGAAATACAGACCCCAAAAGGAGAACAGAAGCAACAAAAGCCATATCTGCTTTTGTCTCCAGCCTAGGCCTTTTCCAAGAGGGCAACAAGAAGTTGAGGGCAAAAACATTCTCTTCCTCCTACAGACACCCAGTTAACGCTCATCCGCTAACAGTCTTTGACAAGAAAGTCTTATAAATATCACAGACCTTGCATACAAGATGATCTAATTACTTCACAGGAACTGATCCTGTGAACATCCATATGTGAACAGCCCCCAAACACCCTGAGGAGAAAGGATGCATTACAAAATCATGCACATCTTTCAGAAATAGAGACTGAAGAACATATACTAGGAGTTACTGCACTACAGCCTCCGCTGGCATGAGGAATTGTTACACGTTTCCAGGCTACGCTTGTTTTGTTTACCCAAGCATTAATTTCTTAGCTACCTTTTATAGAATGTGTTCGTGTTAGATCAAGAATAACCATCACATTCATTAGTGTTTTGGCAATTTTGGTAAAGACTAAGAATGCTCCGTGGAAAAACACTCACTGGAAATCCAACATTATATCCATCTGCCCTCGTCACAGCAAAGCAATTGCACGTGCAGGCCAGATGGGCAACTGCATCTCCTGCTTCAAGGGTTAAGGAAAATAAAATAAGAGCACAAAATACCTGTGAAATACATAACATAAAATCCTTCTACCTTACAGGCCACATGAAGCAGTCAAGCACTTATGAAAGAGGGGATGAGACAAGCAATGAAAACTTAAATCCAGGGTGGACTTGTACCCTGGGGCTGTTTGGTACAAGATGTATCTGTGAGCGCTCAGCGCGGCGCTGCCCGGCTGAGCCGGCAGGAAGACAAGACGGTAGATTAAAACACCATTTGCTTGTTTGTTTGTTGTCTCAGAGCTCTCTGTCTGAGTGCATTAAGCACGCTCCCCGCGGTCACAGGAGAACAGGGGGCCGGCGGGGTGAGCTCTCGCTCCCGGCGGGAGCGCCGAGGCGGGGCGGGGGCGGGCACGGACCCAGCTCCATAACCACGAACCGCCCGGGGCGGGCCCAGCCGGGCAGCCCCAGCCCGGCCGAGGGAACCCCCTGCCGGCGTCCAACCCCTCCTGTACCGCCCCCTGAGCTACAGCGAAGCCCCCCCGGCCCCGCCAGACGCGCCCCTCCCGCAGGGGCTCCAGCAGGCGGGCAGGCGCCGCTCGGCGCAGGGGAGGGCCGGGAGGAAGGAGCGCAGGGGAGAGGCGGGAGTCCAGGCGCCCCCTCACTCACCTGGCAGCCCTTCTTGTGGTGGAAGCCCACCACCACGATGTGCAGCACCGGGCCCCGCTTCTCCATGGAGCAGCCCGGCGATGGCCTCGCCAGAGGATGCCGCCGTGCCCGGGCTCTCGCTCCGCCTCCCGGGGTCCGGCAGGGACGCAGCCCCGGCCGCCTGCGCTTCCGCACCGCCCGGCCCCGGGAGGGCGGGAATGGCGGGCGGCACCGCCCTCCGCCCGTCCCTCACCGCCCCGCCAGCGCGGGGTCACGGAGTCACTGAATTAGTTAGGTCGGAAAGGACCTTCGAGATCGGCGAGGCCAACCTGTAGGCCGTGCAGGTTAATGGCAGCCTAAAGCGGAGTCTGGGGTTGTTTCAGTACAGTTTAGTCAGGTTGGTTGCTGAAGGTTAAAAATGAGAAAAAATCAAGGCTTCTTCTCTTAGCACTGTTTTGCTGCTAATCCTCTGAGAAAAGGAGGGTTGGGGGGGACCTCATCGCTCTCTACAACTATCTGAGAGGAGGTTGTGGTGAGGTGGGGGCCGGTCTCTTCTGCTGTTCCTGCAGTGAGAGGACAAAGAGGAAATGGCCTTAAACCAAGACAGGCGAGATTCAAATTAAATGTTAGAAAAAGAATTTTCACTGTTAGGGTGGTCAGGCATTGGAACCTGTTGCCCAAGGAGGTGGTGGAGTCACCCTCCCTGGAGGTGTTTATGAGGTGTCTGGATCAGGCTCTGGGTGATGTGGTTTAGTGGTTTAGGGGTTACAGTGGTGATGCTGGGTGGATGGTTGGACTGGATGATCTCAAAGGTCTCTTACAACATTTACGATTCTATGATTCTCTAAACGTGTTAGGAGACCCTAGAAAGAAGACAGTTCAAAGAATTGTCCAAGAGCACAGGCAAATTTAGCGTAAGAGAAAAAAAATTTAAAAATCTGTATGTTACGGCACATGAGGGACCATGCTCCCTCTTTAATCTTTGTTATGATTCAATTCTGTCTTCTTGAATCAACAGCATTTGGCAGAGGCTCTATTCTTAATAATTAAGATTCTCTGTGGAAATTGGAGGAAGATAATCTTTTTGAAAGAACTATAAAAGAATAGCGCTTAAAGAAAATCTCATCACTAACATGGTACCCAGAGGCTTGAATTGTAACAATAAAGCATGTAATTACATATTGTTTCACAGCTCCAACAGAAGTGCTGTTACAGAAAAACTATACTGCAGGGAACACAGAAGAAGCTATGAGGAACAATCCTAGCAAGGGAATGATTTCTTACTAGTTTTAGCCTGTAACTGACTGTTTAGTATAATTTCAAAAAAAGAAAAATGTATGCAATATTGTATGCCATTATCTCCTGCAGTAATGAGATATCCCCAAAAAGATACATAGGAGTGTTTATGATTCATTCTCAATTCATTCAGGAAAGTGCAGTGTGACATCACTGTTACTGATATGGATTATGCATTACAGAGGCATCTCAGTGATACTACTGGATAATGGCTTCTCTGAGTAGATTACTAGAATTTTTTTTTTACTTGAAATTCTCTTTCCTGCTAAAGCAATAAAAATGTTAAACTGACAACATCAGTCTGGTCTAGGAAAACTAACTAGTTGACATCATCTATGTTGTTTTCACAGCTCACATTTTGTGTATTTATGAGGAAGAAAGGAAAGTGAGAGCTGCTATGAAACAGAAGCTTTTGGAAAAGTCTCAGTCAGAATTTTCCTGAAGGAATTTTCTTTCTCTGTGCATAGCTAACAAATAGCAATGAAAACTCAGCCCTACAGGTATTCTGTTACTTATGGGTAATATTTTGCTTAAGAAGCACCAGCTGTGGTGTCATTACAGTAGTAATCCTAATTTGTTAGTCATTCTTCAATGCATACCAGTAATGCAAAGTTCTCAACTTGGCTTATGTGCAATGATATTTGTAGAGATGGATAAGCCTTTCCTTGGCAGTATGATAGTTTATGTCTGGAAGTACCACCAGACATAAGCAGTGCCCATGGTAGCTGATAGCTCTGATTTGTTAGGTATAGCCCGGCTTTCTAAAGAACAGAACTGTGAATTTGTGGAGACAAGCATGTCCTTGGATTTCTGTTGAAGAAAAGCGTAAATTAAACCCTGGCATGGATTTGAGGTTTGAAAAATAATTTATTCTAGATGGTAATCTCACTTGGTGTTTGCAGTAGATTTTTTTTTTAAGCTCTTATCCCAAATTTTAGAAAAACCGATTTCTGTGCAGTAAGGTTCATAACAGTGGTTGGGATTATGGTTGGAAACTCCTGTAAAAGAAATACAAAAGAGAAAAGACTACAAAACAATTGATTGGACATAAATTTAATGAACCTCCCACAACATTAAAAATGGGAAAACATTTTACAAAGACAAAAATTTTCGGTTACGTGAAATATGCTCAGCCATCATGCAGAAATGAACCGCACACCAGTGACACGGAGGTGTTCTCAGTGAAGGGAGCGTGTTCCTGCAGCATTCCAGCCTGGTGCCTCAGAAACTTGCCATGTACTAGCAGCAGTACAGTCTGCAAGGACACTTGAGTGACTGACTTTTCTCCCCGCTCTTGCAGCATGTGGACAAGTGGTTCTTTGAGTTATTCACGCTGTTCGCAGGCTGAAATTCATTTTTTTGTGAACTTCTCACCAGTTGGGATATGATCAACTGTTTCAAGGTTATTAGTTAGAAGATGGGTCTCTTCTTGCATCTCAGGTTTTGTGGAACTTCTCTCTCATCCTGCTTTGTTCCATTTGGAATGCAGTTTTAGTGCTCTTTGAAAGCCTTGTGGATGCTGTAATTCCCCTAGAAAGTAAAATAATCTTTCTTTTTTTTTTTAAGTCAACAAGACCAAATGTTATTTGAGTTGTGCATTTAGTTGCATTAGGTCACCATGACGTAGGCGGGGATCCAAACAGGCTTCCCCAAGGAAGTAATGCATTTGATTCAGTGGGGATGATGCTGTCATTCTCATGGGATTGATAGAACTCTCAACCGTGCAGGCAAAAAAGTGGAGGTTAGATTGTTAGGGAGGTTTGCAGGCACAAATGCAATGTATCTTCTCCTGCAACTTTGAAAAGGCTTAAATTTGGATGACCAAAACATTGGTCTTGGATCTTGACTCATCTTCCCACACAAATACTCTATTACTCCTTTTTCTGCACAGCTTGCTGAGGAACCTGAAGAAGTGCTGCTGCCAGCACATACTGTGTGATGGAACATGGGACAAAGAGGTGCAAGCTAACAAGGCATAGCACAGCTCCTGCTGTGTCTTTCAGTCCACCTTCAACAGCTGTAATGCTGCCTACACTCGGGAACAACCTTTTGTGCATATGGTCTGTCTTTCTACAGTCCCTTGATTGCCACAGGGATGTCCTTTTCAATTCTGAGGCCAGACCTGGATGCCCTTCCCTCGGGAGTCACATGGTCTAGGGCCTCCTGCAAACATGTCCTGAGTCTCCTGTGTTGAATGTAGGCTGCACCTGTGACTTGTGGTGTTTACTGAGGACAGATTTGGAAGGAGTCAGGCCTATCTATCTCAAGAGCTGATCCAGGCTGCTCGATTTTGATGGAAGTCGTGTCAGTTGCTCCTGATTGTATCTGAAGTAAATAGAAATCAGGTTAGATTTGCCACTAATACAGCTGCCTACTCAAAATCTTCTGTTAATCCTAAAATAGTCACTGCTGCTTTTAGGGCCATTAGTTGATGAAAATGCACTGAAGGCTGTAGTCAGTAAGACAAATATAATGTTGGGTAATGCCAATTCCATTCTAACGGTGTGAAAATGGATCCCATTTTTTCCTCTTAAATTGTGGAAGAAGGGCAGTTTTCCCCTGGGGCCACTCTGCTCCAGAAAGTGCGTGGATGGAAACAGCTGCCCAGGTACAGCAGCGCTCCTGCCTGTGTATGTTCCAAACTGCCTTTTTCCAGCTTGCTGCTTCTCGATCTGTCAGTCATTTACCTGCAACTCATCTGTGAGTGAATGAGGGCTATTTTGTGCTAGCCCATGTTGCTGAATGGAGTTTTCTATTCTGTCTCTGAGTGCAATAAAGCAAGGCAAGCACTAGAAAAGACGGAAGTGGAAGAACATGAAAATAAATTAATAAAATAAATGATGCAGTAGTTTGGATTTTGTTGCTCTAAGCAGGTGAGATATGAGGTAGCAGATGAAGAGAAACAAAAAGCCCACAAATAAATCCCCCTAAACCAAACCAAAAAGCCCTAATGTTTTTCCTTATGTACAGAGCAAACTTGATAGGAAGTCCCTTGAGGTGTGCCAAGACTGTCTGTTTAGTGTGTTCCCTTGTTTGCTGTGAGCCCTGGGCTCCAGTAACCTGTACTGGATACCTGCCAGTCCACTCCATGGCTCCACGTGCAAGCAAACCAAATAGGGCTGTTGATTAGAAAACGTGTAAAAAAAATAGTTGACACCATGGTTGTGGCATTAAAGAACTTAAAACCAGAGGAGTCAGGAGTTTAAAGTCAGTGTTAGAGAATTTTATTTTTTGCGAATCTTTGCTGACACCATCTGTGGGAATGTTCGGTGCTAGGTTGGATGGGGCTCAGAGTAACCGGGGCTAGTGAGAGGTGTCCCTGCCCAGGGGCGCTTGGGACTGGATGATCTTTAAGGTCCCTTAAAACCCAAACTGTTCTGGGCTCTCCTGCCGACTTAAGCGGGATTAATTCCATGCTAATACTTTGCAAAAATCCGTGTTTAGCAAAGAAGCCTTTGGGGAAAAAAAAAAAATCTTAGGTGGTGTAAATAAACGTGGAATATTGCCCGTCACGACCCGAGCACATCCCAAATCCAAACGCCAAGGAAAACACCCCAGCTCCTTTATTTGCCGGGAATCGCCGCGCGGGTCACGTGGGCGCGCCACCGCCAATCGGGGCGCGCCGAAGGCGCTCGCGAGGCTTTCGGTCTCCATGGCAACGCCTGGGCCTGAACCGTCCGAGCGCCGGCGGAGCCGCCGCCATGGTGAGTACGGGACGGGGCTGCCGCCGCCCCCGGCATTCCCTGCTTATCCAGGTATACCTGCGGGCGTGGGGGCGGCCCGTCCTCATGCGGGAGCCGCTCCAGGGGGCTGCGGCCGCCACGTGCCCTCCCGGGCATCCGTGACATCCCTGCGGAGACTCCTGGGGCTCGGGTTTTTTTGCGGGATGAGGTGCCCCATTGGCTTAACCGCGTATCGGCGTGGCTGACTTGGAGATCACGAGTGGCCTGTGCTTATGTGTCTGTTTACTCGTTTACTCCTTTCTGTCTGTAATAAATAAAAGCTCTTCACCTAAAAAAACCCGCAGCAACAGCAAAGAGAACATTAACTTAGCTTTCCATATGATCCCTCAATTCCAAGGTGTAGGACTTTGTGGGCGACATCGGGCTGGCAGCCACACTGTGAGAGCTGGTTTTATTTACTGCTGTTGCTGCTTCCTCGGCTGCCTTTAAATCCCGGGCAGTCTAGATCTGTGCTCAGATTACTGACTGTCCATCCAGGTATCCCAGTACTGCGTTGTCACTGGAGCTCACCTGCACAGGTGGATTACTGAGGACAGGGTGATCAGGTTAACTGTTTTGTGTGACTTGCTACATTTCTGTCCCTCCCCAGCACCAGCCATACTGACCAAGTACACCGAAGTAAGTGAAGTGGACTCACCTTTGGTTGCATCAGCTCTCCAGGGAATGAGGGGATAAACTCCCATTCGTGCCCCGTTGTACCTCCTTGTGACTTGTGCTACCTGCATGAGCAATGGTTATTCCAGTGTAATTGGCCATACCGACAGTCCTTCCTTGGAAATAGAGGCACGTGTAGAAGGGCTAGTCAGCCACAGCTGAAGTTGCTTCCTTCTTAATTTGCCCTGGGGGTATTTGTTTCTGGGCAACAGGCTGTTGAGAAACAAATTCAGATTATCACTTAAGATTAAGATCTCCTTCTGTATAAAAAGGAGCACAACCAGCAGATAAAGGGAAGTCATTCCCCTTTCTATTCTGCTGTCGTGAGACCCCACCCCGAGCACTGTGTATAGTTCTGGTGCCCCCAACATAAGCAGGACATGGAACTGTTGTAGCAAGTTGTGCGGAGGGCCACAAAGTTGACAAGAAGACTTGAACACATCCCCTACAAAGACAGGCTGAGAAAGTTGGGGCTGTTCAGCCTGGAGAAGAGAATGTTGTATGGAAACCTCACAGCAACCTTCCAGTATCTGAAGGGGGCCTACAAGGAAGCTGGAGAGGGTATCTTCATCAGGAACTGTAGTGGAGTTGCTTCAAACTGAGAGTAGGTTTAGATTAGATACGTGGAAGAATTTCTTTTCTGTGAGGGTGGTGAGGCACTGGAACAGGTTGCCCAGAGAAGTTGTGGGTGCCCCATCCCTGAGAGTGTTCAAGGCCAGGCTGGATGGGGCTCTGAGCAACCTGGTCTAGCGGAAGGTGTCCCTGCCCATGGCAGGGGGATTTGGAACTAGATGATCTTAAGGTCCCTTCCCAACAGAAACCATTCTATGATTCTGTAATTATATGAAAAGTTTCTACAAATAAACTAACAAAGAAACATAGCATACTTTCCTGTGGTTTTGTTTTGGGTTTTTTTTGGTAGTACATCTATGAAAGATACATCATTCAGCTACATTATACATATGTACATGTAGTACAAAGACGAATTTATCCAAGAGCTTCCTCCATGGTCCTTCTGATTCTGATACTCTGATTGCTTTTGTTTTAGATTTTCTGTGACTTTTTTGAGGCTACTAGTCACTTGAGCTCTTACTTCCAAGCACTGGTGGTTTTAAAGGGAGAGCACTTATGTGAGGTGTATGGGGATTACACATATGAAAATATAGTTGTTTTTTAACATGCTAGTAAACATGATAACCCTGTGAAAGCAATCACAGAAACTAGTCAGAGGGCAATACTAGTCAGAGCAAAACTTATGCTCCTTTTTGCTTAGTGTATGTTTGTGCTTTTATCCTCACCTGCAGGCAGAGCTGGGCCTTAATGAGCACCACCAGAACGAAGTGATCAGCTACATGCGCTTCGCTCGCTTCAAGCGTGGCCTGTGTCTCAAAACAGTGGATTCTTGTTTTCAGGACCTTAAGGACAGCAGGTACTGTGTGGGGTGGTTCTGAGCAAGAATAAACCAAATATGCTAGCAGCAGTGGTGCATTTGAACACTTTATGGGGCAACATTTCTCCATTTCAATTTGTATGTTCTTACTGGGGAAGAACCAATAGTTTTCCAAAAGTTACAAGTCAAGTGCTTTTAGAACTAAGTTGTTCACGTTCTTAGGAATTAACACAGATATTGACAACATGACATTGCTTTATATCTTGCTTCTGATGTCTAAATTTAATGCAAGGCTAGCTGAATTAGTGTTTGTGATTGTGATGATTTAAAGAGAAAATTCAAGCATAATAACCAGTTAGTAGTCCTGTGGTCAGCTAATAACTACTGGCAGTGGATGTTTTTAGAAGGATCTTACATTATGTGAGTGGTACCTGTGTAGTGAGATCTCCTAAATATGGAAAATTGTTACCTTTATTATATGTGACTCATGTTAACTACTCTGTTTAGACTTGTTGAAGAGACCTTCACAGTTGATGAGGTGATAGACATGCTGGATGGACTGCAGAGTGTTGTACACAGTGAAGTGGAGTCGGAGCTCATAAATACAACTTACACCAACGTTTTACTTCTGCGGCAGCTCTTTTCACAGGCTGAGAAATGGTACCTTAAGTTACAGACAGACGTCTCTGACTTGGAGAATCGGTAACATCTATTGGACTGTACAGAGTGCCTTTCAATAATAAGAAAGCTTCAAAGTGTTGACTATTTGCATTCTTTTCCTAACCATTGGAATCTATTCTTTTACTGTCGTATCAGTGAGAGTTTCAAGGCTTCCATCTGTAAAGTAGCAAGACACAAAAATAATTTCAAACTTGTCAGCAAGATGTTTTTAATGGTAATATTCTTAGCTGAATTAAGGGCAGGTAAGGGCAGGTGATGGGATTTGAATAAAAAGACTTTTTTCTGGTTTGATTAGATTTTAATCAAGGATGAATCAAGAATTTTACAGTTCTAATGCATATATCATACCATTGAATAACATGATCTGTTGTGTTTGTGGTATTTGCTTAGGACTTCATTCTGTACTTCTAAAAAGAATATTACCTGCAATAAAAAGCATAGCATCAGCATGGTAAAATGTGTTCCATAGCATAGCTCTCAGTAAATGAATGCCTTCCTTTATTTTTCTGCAGTAAATGAATACCTCTTTATTTTTCTTTTCAAGAGAATTATTGGAACAAGTTGCTGAGTTTGAAAAGTCAGAATTTACATCTTCAAACAAAAAGGTAGAGTTTTATTTTAATAAAATCAAATGTCATGTGGAGTTGCGACAGATGTTTAAAATGCCTAGTACTGACTCGGTGCTTAAGAGAGAAAAGCAAAACCAAAACACCACCCTTTTTCTCAAAACAGTCTTTGAAAGTCTCCAAAAAGTCACATTTGCAGTTTGGCACCAAGGCTCACTCTGAATTGCCTTGGCTGTTTCCAGAGTGCAGGTTCTGCACATCCAGGACATGCCTCATATACCTCACCTCAGGGTCAGCCAGACCAGGGGTGTGTTAAAGCATCTGCTCCTGGGTTCCCTTCCCCTGGCAGCTGGGGTAAGATTGGGACATTTGCGTGTCCCGTTTTGGTGTCATAGCTGAAAACATTGCACAGTACAGATATCACTTTAGCTTATCTTGCATGATTATGGCTGCATCTTGTTTGGTTTGTAGTGTAAAGGTGTATTTAGTTAATATATATTATTTTTGATACTTAAAAGGAGAAAATTTGTATCGTTGTAAATATTTTTTACTATTATAGTCACTTAAATATTTTTTCTGTTTTCCATATTCCTTTGTCTTTTGATTGCTGCAGCATTGTTAGTCTTCTGTAAAATCAAGTTTGGAATCCTTCTATGTCTCTGTGCAGTACTTTTGTTTAACTTCAGCTCAAAGTGAAGTACATAACTTAGGAGCCAAGAAACCAGTAAAAAATGAACTTAAAATGAAAGGTCATTCATTTACTTTACAAAAGAAAGCTGAATTGACTGTCAGTAATTATTTTACAGACTATAGGAGTACCTTTCTCCCTCCCAGAGATCTGTATAATTTAATTTTTTCACCTTTATTATTTCTTTAGCCCACTGCAGATCCCGTTAAACCAAAACTGGCTCCATTAAATGAAGGTGGGACAGAGCTGCTAAACAAGGTAAGAACTTGTCTGTTCGTGCAGTTGTGGTCAATGACCATATTTCTGTAATGGTCTGTCACTATATAGACATCATGGTAATATATCCCAGAATGTAAAGGAAAATGCTAGTGAATTAATAAATGTTGTAAAACATCTGACATGTAATGTGTGGTTATGGTCTCTAACATATATTGCAATATTGAGCCTTCCTTTGCAAAGACATTTTGGGCTTTGAAATTGTTTATTTTTTCATTTAATGGAATTAGTAAATTAGTAAATTAGTTCCATGCAGCTAGCTGGCTTTTCAGCAAGGAAGTAAATTAAAATATGTAGCTGGCTGAAATGATTAGGTTATTGAACATTTTCTGTATCCCTTGCAGACAATCTTATTGCATCCATTCTTTTTTTTTTTTTTTTGTAAGTTGGCTAAATTCATCCTGAAGAAACAGGCAATTAGAGAATTTGGAATTTACTGACTTTAAAAATGTCTGATTTCTCACTTCTAAACATTTTCAGAATTAGGAAACAGTTTCTAGTAGTTAATGTTATGAATGGGTTGAACTCACTCAGTTCAACTGAACTTTTCTAAAATGCCACACTTCTTACAGTACACTTTTAGGTTATGGGCAGTCAAGATAATTAGCAAGGAGCTGTGTTTTCTGTCTTCTGGCCTGCACTGCCAAAGTGATGTGTCAAATACAGCGTCTGAATCAAATTGGTTTTACTCATTACGATAATTAAAGCATTCAAGAATTCAGACTTCTATTTTACTTGTAGATCAATGTAGTTCTCTATCAAAAATAATTTCAAAATCTGTTTCATAACAGTTTTTGTTGAATATTTACATCTGATGTCTTTTTCTCTTTTTTCCCCAAATAATTCAAATGGTAAATTTACACTGATAAAACATGGTTATTTCCTGTGACAGAGAACATGATATTCAGTAACCTGCTATTTGTCTCCTTTGAACAGGAACTATGAATAAAGTTTTTGTCGATTGAAAATACAAATGATGAGCAGCAATGAAATTTAGATCTCTGAACATACAATGTTTAATCACGTATCTTGATACTAAGAAGACGCTGAGCTCAATAATCTCAATTCAGTAAAGCATGTACCAGATTTGAGTGAATGGTCCTATACATTACAATAGAATTGAAGACTTAAATTGCTTGCTGACTGAGGCAGAAAACACAATAAATCAATGAATTACTGATTTCTTATGGAGGCCATTTTTATAAGCATTTATAAGATCTTCTTTGCTTTCCTAAGTTATGGAAGTGTATTTTCTTCCCTGAAACATTTGGAAAATTTGAAATAGCACAAGAGTGTTCACAGACTTTTTCTTGTTCATTAACCCAAAGACAGTTGCTCGTCTCCAAGAAGAAAATGAAAAATTGAAGACCAGACTCAAGACTATAGAAACACAGGTAAATTCCCTGTAAGCTTGGATACTTAATGCTGTTTGCATATTTAAAAATATCTGAATAAGAATCCCATGGTTATTATTCTTATGTTTCTGAGGTTTTGAATTTTCAATGTGTTGCAGGCTACAGCTGCCCTAGATGAGAAGTCCAAGCTAGAGAAGTCACTGAGGGATTTACAGATGATCCAAGGAGATCAGAAGGTAAATACAATTAAGATATCTCCCTCTGTTTAACACAACTGTTGCCAATACATCCAAAATGTTGTTCTGTATGGTGTGTGTTTCTTTTCTGGCAAATGCAAAAGTTCAAGTTAGTTTTGTTGTGTTCCTGCCTACATTGTCTGTTCCTGTTGATCTTTCAGTCAGCAGATAATCCATAACATTGGTTGATGTTATGACATGTATTTGTGTCACATAGACCATGATAAATTATTGTTAGAAAGTGTTATTCCAGGTACTGTCAGGAAGTAGTATTCCAGAATTCATATTCTCAGGGTTGATATTTGTATTAACAGACACAAATTTATGTCTGTTTCTTGATGTTTACTGATGAAAGAATGATGTCTAACCTGGTTTTACAGCAGCAGTAAAACACTAATTTTTTCGAGCGTTTGTCACACCTAATGTTGACATGGACAAGCAAACTTGCTGCTTATATGATTTTATGTGGTTCTGCACATATCAGCATACTGTTAAAAATGGTTCATTGTTTATTTTTACTACTTGAGATTCTTAATCTTTTTTATAAATGATTCAAACCCCGCGAGTTGCTGCTGTAGAAATAAAATGTAAGAAGCCTGAAGTCACTTTGACACAGATAAGTCTGTTCAGGTCACCTTAGTATTTTTTCAAGTTTGTACCTTTATTTTGTCAATAATTAGAGTTTTCTAAAGTTTGTTCATGTGTGATTGTTTCTTAAATTTCAAACATTCTGTTCAGACTTGAAAGAAAATTATTACACTTTAATCCTATTATTTTGAGAAATTAACTTTAAAACTCCTCCAGTATTTACAGATTTGAAGTGAGGTTCAGTATCATAAAACATTTCTCTTTTAAGTTTCATATTTTAATCCTGATTTCTTTTTATTTTGCTTTCTAACTGGTTTATGGTATGTACTTGGCTCTCTCAATATGTTATAAATTTACTTAATAACTTTCAAAATCTGTATTCAATAATATTATTTAATAGGGAACTTGATTTATCAATCATGACAAATAATTTCTTTCTTTGTTTTGTTAAGCCTTAAATTATTAAAGGTTTAAAATATTAAAGGGGTGTATTAAATCCTGGATAATACTGTTTGTAGTTTTAAAAGATTGGAACCAAATCTCATCCTGCTTTTCTTGTTAAAAATGAATTGGCCTCAGTGTCAGGGCTGCTGACTATCTTCAGCTTTCATGTCCTAATTTGCTCTCTGTAATCTCTCACTTTCTTCTCCAGCTTTTACATTTTCTATTTACAGGCATATATATGTTGTTGCAACTAGCTAGTGGATATAGTGCTGAAATGTTCTACATGATTTAAGCAATTACAGTATTATCAGTATTAGTTGTTGGAGAAAATGTAGAATTTTTTGTGATTTCACTCCATATTTTTTAGGATGGATGTCATTAAGATCATATAAACCCAGTTGCTCAATAAGCAGAAGTTTTTAAACTCTTTGGACAAATAAATGGCTGCCAAACCACAACAGTTCTTAAGGACCAACTCAGCAGATTGATTTTTTTTTTTTACTAATAGTTAATAGATGGCCCCACACATGAAGTTTGAGTCACAGTTTGGGAGTAACTGCTCCATTGGAACAATTTAACTTGAGGATTTAGAATTTTTGCATAATTGACTTATGTCCTCATTTAGAAAAATGGCAACTGTCTATTCTGGTCTGAAACACACAAAATGTAGTGCTTTTCAGCATTGCAGACTTGGATTCTGTCTCAAAATTCAAAATAAACTTTTCTTCTGTACAGGTACTATTATGAAGTGTGTTCCTGTTCTCAAATCTTACCTTCCACATAGAAGAAGGAACAGAGCTTTCTTAGTTTTAGTTTTTTGTTCTTTTTAAGGTGCTGCTGGTTCAGCCTCATCCTGAGTCATTATACTTCTGAGTTTGAAATTGAGCTTTCAAACCTGAGAAGGTTTTGCATTTGGTTTTTTCTTTTTTAATAAAAATCCATAGAACAGTTACATGATTATAATGTTTTGTTACCCGAAACTGAAGTCCAGAAGAGTTTGAGTTATTTCTTCTCACAACAAAACAGGAAAGTTGCTTCATAAGCAACTGTGTAAGACATCTAAGAATTGTACAATATTCATACCTGACTGAGAGTAAGAGCCTTAACACTTCCAGCCTTTCCTACCTGTACAACACTAAGGGCTTTTGAAATGCTTCAAAAATACATTGTAGTGTAGACATTCAGATCTTAAATGTTAATTTACTATTTCTGTATGGTAAATAACTTCTTATAATATGCTTTATCCTGTGGCTGCACCTAGTTCCTAAAGAAGCAAAATACAAAAACTTGAAATCTCAACTTGGCAGACGACATTCCAAACATCTTTAAAATGCATTTATTAAAAATTTTTTACAGTTATAAATCAGCCACTGCGGTAACATTTTTTTTAGTTAAAACACTAATTTAGGCTTTAAAGGAATAACATGAACATATTTATTAAAAATTAAGATGTACCTACTTTGTGTGGAATTTTGCACTTGAAATTTAAAATATTTCTTCTCTTGCATTTGACATATTTTAAATATTTCTTCCATTGAAGACTAATGCAAACCAGGATATCACTGAACTGGAGAATAAAGTGGCAGCTTTGAAATCCCAGTTTGAGAAGACTTTGAATGACACTACTGCAAACCAAAAATTCTTGGAAGAGGACTTGGTGACAACAAAACATGACTTGCTTAAGGTTCAGGATCAGCTATCTGCAGCTGAAAAGGTTAGCATTTTTTTTGTAGTGTAAAGATGTGAACCTTACTCAAATTTTAACTGACTAGTAATTTAACAAGCACACACTACAGGATGCAGAGTTTACCAGGCCACACTGTTGCCTGTGTATTTTTGTTATTTCAGTGGAAAAGCATGTTATAAGTAAAATAGCAAACCCACAACTAACTACATGATTATAACTAGATGAATACTTAAATAGTGCCCATTTGTCTGCATAGAAAGTTTGAAATGAAAAATGTATTCCCAGCCTTGAGAAGACTTTTAGCCTAATTTCATCAGAAAATAAAGTTTGTGTTTCTCTGTCTGTCCCAGTAATCTCATTTGAATTTACCAGCTGACTTAATCTAAATTTGAATAAACTACTATTCTGAAACTTGAGGAGGAAAAGCAATAGTTTTTTTTTTTTAAATATTTTAGTTTGGTCTTCATAATATGTACATAATATGTTGATGTTGTTATTATGTAGGAGCTGGAGAAGAAATTTCAGCAAACAGCTGCCTATCGCAACATGAAGGAGATTCTCACAAAGAAGAATGAACAGATAAAGGATCTGCGTAGAAGGCTTTCCAAGTAAGTGATCTATCCTGTCTGTCCAAACAGGATCCTTGTTCTGCATCCATGTTCTGTTCCCATTTTGTCTTGTAAACAGTCTATAAATTTTCCCTTAAAAAGAATTTTTAGTAGTCTATTCCCTAATTTTTGACAAGCCAGTCCTTTCAGTGGATGTTAAGTGAATAGGACTGACCTATGCAAGAGCAGCTACCATGTAGGAATTAATGAGAGAATTTAGTATGGAGAGGTTACAGGACATTTATGTGTGTGGTGGATAAGCCCTTGGGCACTACACAGAGAGCTACAGATGGCACATATTCCAGATGCTTTGGCAGTTGTTTGGATTTGTGGGTAGGTCATTCCTTCTTTCTAATATTTGGTAAACTGGCCACTTTTTAAAGGAGAAAATAGTCTAAAAAGTATATGCATTTCTCTGTGCCCTAAGTCATACAGTGATTCTTGACAGAAATGTGTCACTATTGAGTGCAATTTGTTACTTGGGTTTCATTTTTTCTTTAGAGGCAAAATGACTCTAGGGTATTTTCTGCTCTGTTTTAATTATTTTTCTATTTATCTTTTTTAATCCTCAGATATGAATCAGAGGACTGAAATACCAAAAAACATCTGATGTATCGAAAGCTGCCATGGAAAGAAAATGTAGACTGGTATTATATTTCAATAATCTTTGTTTTAAATGGTATATTTTTTGCTTCTAATGATGAAAATAACTCTTTATTAATACTAATAACACGCTGAAACTCCTACCTTACTTCCTTGTAAACCTACAATTTATAGGTATTAGTTTCTGCAGTCATGTTTTTAATTCTTAGCCATCAACATTTCTTGAGAAACAGCTAACAGGATCTTACTGAAGAACTGAGAACATTCCCTACAAAGAAAGGAGTTTATTTTTGTTAAGAAAAGAAAAAAAGGGAAAAAAAAGAGCATTAGGGATTTTCATGTCTCTGAAGTGGAAATTCCAGTTGTTACTTTTGTGTAGTTAGTGTACTTATGAAGTAGCATTATATGTAAAAATTACATCAGTGAAAGTAAAAAGCAGGAAGAAAAAAAAANCTGGACATGTCATGCCTCAGCAAAATGTGGTCAGTAGCATTTTTCTGGAGGATGTTCAGGAGCTAGTGAGGTAAATATGCTTTATAGCTGAAGCTTTCAAATAAAGCCACTAATTGAAGTTATGCTTTTTAACTTGAATTGATTTGAAACAAATTTGAATATCAAAAGACAGATTCTGATTTTGCCAGTATTCTTAGCATTGAGATGATAATCTGAAAACTCATAGGAAAGTTAATGGAGAAACTTTTTTGAGGAATAAGTTATTTTAGATATTTTCATCTCCTTTCTTGATGTAACCTCATCAGAAAACAGCTTACTTCTCTCAAGTCTTCTACTTGTAATTCTTTTCCTTGCATTTATTTGTCAGCCTATTGTTAGTGCATTCTACTTGTTCATCTGTCCCTGTTCATGTGTATGTTGTATTTTACTCCAAATAAAACTATTCTGTTTTCAAACATTTAATCTTTAAGGAGCTGGGTTTTTTAATAGGAATGTTTTGTATAGCCATTTTTTTAATATCTGTAGGAATGGGTGGCAGATCAGCAAAGAATCTTGCTAAAAATTAGAACATGTAAATTGCAGAATGGTGCTCAAAGATACACCACATCAAACAGCTGTAAAACAGTGTAGCAGTGGCAGGGCTGGGAAGTGGCCGGGGTGGTTGTGTTACAGAAACTGGCATTTAACAGTACTTGTCTCAGGAGCTGCTTGAACTGAAATGGATTGTTTTTCTTCATTCTTTCTCAGACAAGCAAGGCTGTTAAAATTGTTCAAGCAATGATGCCCCGTTCAAATCTGCCATACACTTGCAGTCTAAGTTCTCTTGTTTCCTCCAAGTTTAAGTTCTCATGTTTTATATAAGTTCTCTTGTCCTTTTTTTCCCCCCACCGGTTAAGCAAGATTGCTTTGGGATAATGTCCTGTGTCTGTAGCATGATATTATTGCTGTAGCACAATAGTAGGGCATTATGGGGTGACCTACTCTTCATGCAGTAGCAATTAAGTTAATGAAAGGTATTATTTTGCCCCTTGTACAGTCATCTAAAAGGTTAAGTTCTTAATAGGGATGTACCAAAGAACTTTCTGGCTTGTGTTTGCTCAGAGCAACAGGACTACTTTTCTGGGTGAATATTGTGGGTTTTTTCTTTGTAATAACACTCATTTTAATGAGATCACTTACTATTTCTAAAAGAGCAGGTAAAAGATGAAGAAAAACAGAGATTCTTCTACTGCGCTTCTTTTCTGATAGATCTTTGACTGATGATTTAGCTAGAATATTGATTCTGTGATAGGCATTCATTATCTGCTTAGAAACAATCTCAAAAAGAAGGTAGACTGTCGACTCCAGTATATGGCTAGGTCTCAGTGAAATAAGTTGCCTGTAGAAAAGCATTGTTACAGACATTGTTATCTCCTCAAACAAGGCAAATCTTGTAGAGAGCTGTGCAGTGCAAAATTGAAACACCGACTTCGATTTCCTGCCTTGCAGATTGCCACTTTAGGGAGTGTGAGATCACTGTGATGCTCACATTGGTTTGTGTTGCAGAATGGCTAATTAAAGGGCTTTTGTGGAGCTCTTGATGGAAAATACATGATCTTTGACAGATGATATTCCTGTCAAAGAAGACCTAGAGCATTGTACAGTAACAGTTCTCTTTTTGTGGAGATAAGTACAATATTTTGAAGATGGAGATGACATATGAATCTCTCCTGGCAGTGTCTGATATTTCTAAAACTTCACTTCCTTCCCTGAGGTGTAAATTCTAATACTGCTTTTACCAGCCTTTGTTCCCTGTACTGTTCAAATAGACATCATCCATTTCTTCCACTTCACTTGTTAAGTCCCTAGTTATGCCTGAAGGGAATGTTTAAAAAGAAAATTTCTCTATAACTGGCTGGTCTGCAGGAATCAAATATCTTTCAAAGCTGTGGTTTTCTTTTTTTGGGTGTGTTTTTTATTTTATTTTATTTTATTTTTGCTTGCAGACTGAAGAATATTTTTTTATGGGGACGAAATTCAGGCAGCTCAGCTTCGCTAGTGTTGAATCTGACAGCCAACAAACAACCCTATGCACTGACAGTGACTTCAACTCAGCTGCTGGTCGTTCATAAATGAGCCAGCATTGCTGCATGCTCTTCATGAGAGTGTATATTACCTCATGATCCTTAACTGTTTTTAAAGTACTCATTAGTCTGTTTTTCTCTTGTGGATAATAGCCATTTTTTAAAATGTGCTAAGGTGAATGCTAGTATATATTGACACTTAGTCTGCAAGTGCACCTCTTTATTTGATAAGCTAATATTAAGGACAGCTGCTGTTTGGACATTTCTCATATACCTTACCTTTGGGAAACCCAGTCATCTGCTAGGCATTTAGATTTCAATCCAGCCAAAAGGTTCCTAAGATTCCTTGATTTGATTTCCCTTTTCTGCCATTATCAAGGTCAGCTCTTGGCTTCTGTGTGATAGCAAATGCTGGCAGACCACACTGAAGTGACTCTTACTGCTTCAGGAAGCAAATGTGAATCATCTTGCAGTGTCAGGTAGCTGAATGGATCAAGCTTAAAAATTTTGATCTGTTCTAGGAGGATGTGCCTTCTAAAACATGTTAAAACCAATTTAATTTGAAGCTAAGTTTTTATGTGAGCAGGTAAAAATTGTTATTGAAATTATTATTGTAACTGACTTTGAGCAGAGAAGGTGCCTAGGGAGTTACCATGTGACTGTTGATTTTGACAATGTCCCTTTGAAAGCATTGGCACAGGATTCTTGCCCTGCTCTGGCTGCCTGCAGACTCTCTGAAAGCATCTAGATGTGCCCTCCTTTTGGATATATCCTGTAACATTAGGCAGCCTATTTAGAGTCAACTCTTCTCCAAATAAAGGTGGGTAGATACATGTCATTCTTAGTTTCAGGAGTCTTAATATCTGGAGAATTTTGGTCGTTAATTATTTTTTAATTATTATTTTTAGGAACCTGTTAATGTCTTGGGGTGTCCGTGGTAAGCCATGGTGATGCTGCGTGGTTGGTGCAGGACTCTGGCAGAGCAGCTCACGACTGACAGCTGCTGGTGGACAAGGGATCTGCCTGGAGACCTCCCCAGACTGCAGGCAAGCTTTGACAGAGACAGTGGGAACTGGCAGGAGGCAAGCAGAAGAACTGACTGAATAGGTCAACTACCTTTTTTATTTAGTGAGGTGCTACTTTGTGACTCTTGTTTTACATAGGCCAGTTCTGAGGTCTGGGTGAATTAGATGCAATTCTCTGAATCGGAACTGCACTGAGTACCCTAAAAGATCACATAGTCGGAAGATGAGTAGAGCTGTGGTGCTAAACAAAAGCAAAGAAATTAGAAAGAGAGACCCTTCCCAGGAATGCTTTTCTTGGGAGGCTGACGTAATGTGAAACAGTTTTAAGGGTGACGAAGAGGTTGGATATGACTTCAGGGTACAGACCTTAAGGGCATCATCTACTAAGCAACAAGTAGTAGTGATTAACTGGAAGGAATAATTCAATCCTGATAACTGCTTAGAGGAGTATGTGTAATCTCCAATTACACATAGAGCAATTGCCCAACAGTTATCATGGCCTGTGAGTCCTCAAAGATCTGGAAATCCAGATGGATTCTTTCTTTCTCTAGAGTAAGGAAACATGAGGCTTAGAGTAGCAACTGTGAACAGCGAATCCCAACAGAAAAACCATATGTGAAAGCTGCTACTCGCCTGGCTGTGTATCTGCTTCCCTTGACAGTATCAGTAAACATTTGCAGAGGCTCTAGAGACTCTTCCATCGCTTGTGTTTGATAATCATCTGATATGCTAGCAGACACCATATTTCCATTTGGAGGCGAGTGCCTCCAGGAAAGGCAGATCTTAAACACCACAGCTGCCGACACTTTTTCTCCCTTCCACATGTGTGGCTCATCAAAGAAAGCCCAGAGGGTTTATTTTTAAATCTAGATGGTATAGTGCTACATGTTGGAGGTAGAACAATAAGGTCCAGGCTACCTGGTAGAATTCCTTCCTCCCTTGTTTCCCTCTCTTTCAGAAATAGAACTGTTAAGCTTCTCTCACACCCTCAAAGCACTATCCCCAACCTGTTGCTAGGACCTCAGACTCCCTTTTTGTCTGCATTTTAGGTAGCTGGAGAGGCACTTGGCTGCTTTCTGTACCAGTATCATTTGGCATCAAGAGATACAAGCCCAGGATTTTTAGTTTGCACCTTTGCCTAAGTACTTGCAGTTTTACTTCAGTGAGAAATGGAATCCTCTGGTTTGTTTATTAGCTTCTGACTAGGTTTACATAGAGGAGTTCTCATGGGCAGTCCCATCAGTCCCTGTGGAGATGAACCCCTGCCCTTCTCCTCAACCACTCCCTCAAACCCTACATTTCAAATTTGTTAGGTACTGGGGGGCAAAAATGTTTCTAATACTCCTTTAACATGAGCAGTGAAATGTTTAAAAGTTCTTCCGTATGTCTGTTAGAGGCTTGTCTTTGTCCCTGAAGATAAAGCCCAAGTCCTTCCCCAACCCAAATGAAGGAATTTCAAAGGAGATAAAATCTTGAACAGTATGAGAAATAGCATATTGATTATCTGAGGTGTGTAAGGAAAATCCTACAGCAAGAATTCCTTAGTGTTGACTGTGTAAATACCTTTAAATATGTTTAAAGCCTATCCTTCAAGGAGCCAGTAGATGACAGGCACTCTGCTGTGTGCCTATGTGCATGACCACCTTTAAAAAAAAACTCATAGGAGTTTGTGATCTGCTGATGAGACTGACATTTGTGAGAGACATAAGGATTCATCTCTTTCCGTCTGAACTTCCTGATCTGGCCTGACCCGAGATGAGGACAGTACACCTCTCTGCCTGCACGATCTCCTCCAGTCCATTAGTAAACTAGTTTGAAATGTAATGGGAAGGAGGTCCAGAGCCAAGGTAAATCTTTAACCTGATGATTCTTATCAATAGGAATAATCCATTCACACAGAAGCATCCCAAGTGCTAGAGATGTGCTATTTTTTAATGCTGTCCTGTCAGAAAATTATTTAATGCTGTAAGCTATTTATAAGCATCATTTATAATAAATCCCACTGGCAGTGGCAGGCATTTAACTTTTTAATAATTTGCAAAGTTTTCATTATTTGAGACAACTAATGTATCTGTAGCTTCTCAGTGTGTGTCTTTCAGTTTTAATAGCTTATGGATCTAAAATTAGCTTGGATTTTTTTTCCAGCAGAATTCAGGGGTATACCCATGAGACATATTTCCCTGGCTAGCTGGCATGTTGCAATTCTGTGGGCAAGACAAAAACTGCAAGGGTATTGCAGAAATGCCATGAGCACCCTCAGAACTGTAGTCTGGAAGGTTCTGGCAAGCCCTGATGTTTTCCAGTGACAACCTTCATTTGTAGCACCACTAAGACACACCACAAAGAATGAATTCACTTACAGGAGGTGCGTAAATCTCTTGCAGTCACCTCTTCTAGCAGTCAGAAAAGCGATGTCCCAATTTGTGACTTTGCTACTGCAGGTTAGCACGTCTACCAGAGTGGTTCTGCTGGGCTCGACAGCACTGCACTACACACTCTGTGCTTTGGGCTCATGTCCAAAGGCCCCATGGTGGGGGTTCTCACCTGTACTTACAGCTGGCACTTGGCTCGTCCGGTGCCTGATGGGGTGCTGGAGCAGCACACACAGCGCTGGCAGGGAGCAAATTGCTGGTGCCGGAGGAACGAGACTGCCAGCAGTTGAGTGAGTCTTACTCATAAAATGGTCCTGAAAGGTGCTATGGAAAAAACACATTTAAACGGAGGAAGGAAACTGAGTCCTTGGAGTTGTTCAGCCCCTTTTTATTGCTAGAGATGCTGCTGGCAGCCTCCTTCACTAGGAGACCTGTCTGAATTGATTGAGCTCAATGAGTACCTTGGCAGGGGCCCAAATACAACAGGGTGCATGTTCAGACCTGGCACCCCACTGTGCCTTCAGATGACCCAAAGGCCTCATAGACCCTTCTACCTCCACAGTGGGCCACAGACACCTTTTCCCAGTGACCTTTGTATATATTTGTTCCCTGCTACTTGAAAGTATTTTAAAACAGCAACTCTTCAGAAAAGTTCATCTGCAGCAGTGGGGTTTGAGCATGAAGGTAAGTGAAAAGAGACTGGGCTATTTCACACTGTCACATACATGCAGAATATGTAGAGGGAGGGTAGTAGCGCTGGAGGGTCAAACTTGAGTGTTGTACTCAAGTGTGCAGCGTGTTGGGGACCTTTGTGGCTGATAGGGACTGTTTCGAGGCAACCTTTGGAACTGGGAAGCGTGCTGGACTGGTTGGGGTGAGCACTGGATCACAAGTGATGGGGTGTCTGAGGACCCATTTATTCCTGGCATCCCTTGCCCTAGAAGTCAGCTCTGACAGTCACTAAAGCCAGTCCTAATGGTGTGGGAATCCCTTCTCTGTGCTGTTGAATTCAAACTGGTACCTCATGCACATGAATGCCACTCATAGGGAAGGGAGCCCTGTGGAGAAGGAGTGTCCCATTTCCAAAACCAGACTGCAGCCCCAGTGTTATTTTCTCACAGTGTCAAGTTGGCATGTGAGTTGATAAAAATCCCCCGGCTCACATCCTTCCCAGAAGTGCCAGTCAAAACCCAAGCAGCTATTTACCCAAAGTACCAATTTTATAGTTCTGTGTGTGTCTATAATCTATTTACCAGCATTCCTACTTCAGTATGTGCCTGTTAATAAGATTAGTAATTAAAAAGCTTGATAGGAATTGGCAAGCATAGCTCCTCCGCCTCTCCCTCCCCTCCAAGCCGGACTGGCGTGGAGTGTGAGGCAGGGTTGGCAGAGTACCTGAGGGAGTGAAGGCAGGAAGGCTCTGCTGAAACCTCTGCCTACAAGCAGGCAATGGAGAAATCCCGGCCGCTATGGGACAATCCCCTGCAGTTTGTTTTTGCGTGCATTTCCTATGCCGTGGGACTGGGAAATGTATGGAGATTTCCCTACTTATGTCAGATGTATGGAGGAGGTAAGTGTGGTTCATGTTTCTTGCTTCCCTCGAGGAAGAGTGTGGCAAGCTTTAAGTCCAAAAGTATGTTGTCCATGCTAATGCCCTGTTAACCCAGCAGGGTCCAGGGCAGAGTAGGACATCTGGCTTTCTGTTGGTGTGCAACCTGTCTTATTGCGCTTTATTTTATGTGTTCTTTAGCATTAGGCTTTTACGTGACAGCTGCCCCAATACAGTGGCACTTGTTTCCTAGAAGTGCAATGAAGCAGTGGGAAGGCCCATGTTTTCTAAAAGGGTGAAGATAGAGTGAGAGATACATGTCCACATGGTATTAATCTATTACTTTTTTGCCCCATCAAACCTTTCTGAAGTCATCAGAAACTAGTTCAGTTCTTTGTATGTTCACATATGTGGACTTGGAACATATTGAGAAGGGGAGAGGCTTATACTGATTTAATTTAAGGATCAGATGCATCATTTCAAGTTTCTGTCATTAGTGTTTTGTCTTTTATACAA